ATGGACACTGGGAAGAGGAAACTATGGGGAGGAAGTGGGAGGGAAGCTGTTGCATTGTAGTAAACTGTGGTCAATGACATGAGACAAAGTATATGTGAAATGCTGTATGGAAAGTGAATTTGCTCTGTAAATCTTCACCCAAATCACAATAAAAAAATAAAAAGGAAAAAAAAATAATCCCAAGCTAATAAAAAAGTTACAAGGATAGTACAAAAAAACTTCCATTTCCCAAAACATTTGAAATTAAATTGCCAACATGATGCTCTATAGTTTCAGGACATTTCTGACTGCTAACCAGAAGCCTGGCGGTTCAAACCCACCAGCCACTCCTCAGAAGGAAGGTTGGGCAATCTACTTCCGTAGTGATACCACTTCAGAAACTCAAGGAGGAGTTGCTATGAGTTGGATCCGACTTGACAGCAGCGAGTTTGGTTTTGGTTTAACCACAATGTACCCATCAAAATTAGGAAATTAAAACCTACACAATACCCTTCCATCTAATCCACAGAACCCATTCACATTTCAGAAACTGTCTCAATGATATTCTTTACAGCAAAAGGGTCTAATCCAGGATCACTTGTTATATTTGATTACATCTCTTAAATCTGCAACAGCCTCTCAGTCTTTCCTAGCTTTTCATGCTTGACTTCTGAAGATCAGAGTCAGTTCTTTTGTAGAATGTTCCTCAATTTGCCTGAAGCTTCCTTAGGACCGAATACGAGTTATGCATCTCTGGCAAGAACATCACAGAAGTGATGGTATGTTCTTCTCACTGCACCCCATCAAATGATACACAATTTCCATTTGATCCATTCCTGGAAATGTTAATACTGATCATTAGAGTAAGGTGCTGTCTGCCAGGTTTCTCCACTGTAAAGTTAACTTTTCCTTTTTCAATCAATACATATGTTGTAGGAAGTTATTTTCAGTCTATAACTCATTCTTAATTAAACTGCCGCTTACTGGCGTCAAGGTCTGTGGTAGGTCAATTCCTAGCCAGTGGACTTCGTGCACAGCCACGACCCATCTGTCAGTGGAGGTGTGTGACGGTGAACAGGTTTCCGTGGTGCTTCCAGACTAAGAGCTAGGAAGAAAGGCTGGAGATCTACTTCAGAAAATCAGCCAATAAAGACCCATGGAATGACAATGGTCTAATTTGGAAGCCATGATGGAGACCACACAGCACTGGTACACTACAGCTAGTTGCTTGGCATGGCCCTTCTAGCCCATGGTCTTTATGATTCCCACCAAATAAATGACTGGGTAGGAATATGCAAATGTGAGGTGGTTGTGGTCCACCAAAGGGATTGAATAGCCTGCTAATAATGTAAATAAAGGGTATGGCATGCTTGAACAGGTGGGACCATGCAAATAAGGTGTATGGAATCCTAACGTGGGGATTGGTCGATTTTGCCATCCACTAGCCTTAAAATGAGCCATCCCAGAGGTGAGAAGGGGGAGCTCACTACCATCAAGAAAGAAGAGCCAGAAGTGGAGCACATTCTTTGGACCCAAGATCCTCCTGGAGTCACAGATAAAGCTGTAACACTTTGCTGAGACAGCAAGAACCAACAGCAGCAGCCCTGGCAGCAGAAAGCACAGTGGGCTGAAGCCTAAGGAGGAAGCTTGAGTGCCTTCGGGGAAGACGTTTATTGGTAGACTGGGGTGCCTCTGGCGGAGGCAGAGCTAAAAGAGCTTTGTAACACTTGCCTGAGGGCCAATAGCCAAAGAGAGTTGTGCTTGTGGGAATCGCCAAGGGGAGGACATCATATTTCAAAGGACTGGATCCCTAGCACTCCTAAATCTGAATTGCAATAACCATAAGAACTGTGTGTGAATTCTGTGTGACAAAGCAACAAATAACAAACTCAGCAGAGAAGCAGAGTGCTGTGGGAGGGATGACTGGTGTCAGAATTGGTAAAAATTTAGAGTGTGGAGGGATGTCTGATCTCCACCTCATGGAAATCGGCCTTAGGCTGTTCTCCTCTAGCTTGCAGAAGTTAAAGGAGGTCAGATACCTACTCCATGCAAACTGGAAGAGTTTTGTTCTGTTTTGTGTGCAATCACCATGAGTTGGTGACTAGACAGCACCTAACAACAACAACGTTACCTATGTCCTAATCTTTGGAACCTGTGAATGTTACTTTACATGGCAAAAAAGGATTTTGAAAAGTGATTAAATGAAGTATCCCGAAATAGGAAGATTATCTTGGATTATCAAGGTGGGCTCTACATGCAATCACATGTATCCTTGTAAGAGGGACACTGGATAAACAGAAGAGGAGAAGGCATTGTGATCACATATGCAGAGATCAGAGTGATGCAGTCAAGGAATGCCGGCCTACCGACTGACATTGAATCGATTCAGATCACAGGGACCCTACAGGACAGAGCAGAACTGCCCCATAGGGTTTCCAAGGCTATAAATCCTTACAGAAGCTGACTGCCTCTTGTCTTTCCCATGGTGCAGCTCATAGGTTTGAACTGCTGACCTTTTAGTCAGCAGCCAAATGTTTTAAGCACCGCACCAGAGCGCCTCAGGAATGCCAGCGTCACCAGAACTTGGAAGCAGCAGGAATGGATTCTCCTATGGTACTGCCTGTACACTGGTTTCTGTGGTTTCAACTCCCACGTCGGAGGCAGTTTCAGCAGCCACTGGAACCACACATAGCATCCACTGATGTTTCCTGCATGAACGATGATGATGATGATGGCTGCCAAACTGGACATTTTAATGTCATCATTTCCTCTACATTTGTTAGACGTCACACTACTGTGTGTGTGTGGAAGAAGCTTTCTATTTCCTCCACGTATATTCATCTATCCAGCATGTTTTATGAATAAAGCAACTCTCGTGATGCAGTGATTAAAACATTTGGCTACTAATCAAAAAGTCAGTGGCTCAAACCCACCAGCTGCTGCGCGGGAGAAAAGACGAGACACAGTTCGTTTCCTTAAAGTTTCAACGCCGTGGAAACGCTATGGGGCAGTTCTCCTCTGTCCTACGGGGTCACGATGAGTCAGAATCCACACAATGACAGCGGGTTTTATTTCATTCAATAGCTTCTACCTACTGCTATCATTCACTTGATTTTTAAACTGTCCATGACTTGGCAAGTGGAAAACCTCACAACCTGGTTTCTCTGTCCTACTGACATGCTGTCACCCATTAAGACTTCCTTTTTTGTTTTCACTATTTTTTATTGTGGTAAAATACATATAATATTTGCTGTTTCAACTATTTTAAAAATATACATTTCACTGGCATTAATGTTGTACAGGGAGCTCTGGTAACATAGTGCCTAAGGCACTTGACTGCTAACCAGAAGGCTGGCGGTTCAAACCCACCAGCCACTCCTCGGAAGGAAGGTTGGGCAATCTACTTCCGTAGTGATACTTCCTCGGAAACCCAAGGAAGGGTACCTATGAGTCGGGTCTGACTCGAGGGCACATAACAACAACAACAACGTTGTACAACCATTGCCACTAAATAGTTCACTCCAAAAAGGAAGCCCCGAACCCATGAAGCAGCCACTCTCCAATTTCTTCTCCCTAGCTGATAACCTCCAACCTATTTTCTGTCTCTATGAATGCACCCATACCAGGTACTTAATAGAAGTGGAATCATGTAGCATTTGTCCATTTGTGTCTGGCTTATTTACTTAGCATAATGTTTACAAGGTTCATCTACAATGTAGATTTCTTTTTATGGCTAAACAACATTATATTGCTACATTTTGTTTATCCATTTATCTGCTAATGGACACTTGGCTTATTTCCACCTTTTGGCTACTGGGAATAATGTTACCATAAACACTGGCAAAGCATGAATCATTGTCCTAAAATCTTATGGGTAAAAAAAAAAAAAAAAAATTAAAATTAAACGTGGGGGCGGTATATATAACTAGGAGTGGAACTGCTGAGCCATAAGGTTAACTTTATGTTCAATCTTTTGAGGAACTGCCAAACTGCTTTCCACAGGGACTACCCTGCTTTACATTCCCACCAGCAAATCACACCCCATCCTTCTCAACATTTATTAGTCTGGGTTTTGTTTGTTTTTATTCTAGCCATCCAAGTAGGTACGAAGTGGTATCTCTTTGTGGTTCTGATTTGCATTTTCCTAATGATTAATGATGATTAGTTTTTCTATGGACTTATCTGTCATTTGTATATCTTCTTCAGAGAAATGTGTATTCAAATCTTTCATCCTTTTTTTTTTTTTAACTTGGGTTGTCTTTTTGTCATTGAGTTATAGAGCTCTTTATATATTCCGGATATTAACCTTTATCAGATATGTGATTTGTAAATATTTTCTCCCAAGACTTCTTTACTTTCCTGCTCAGTAAAATAATCTAGGCTCATCTTATAACTTCCAAGTCTGTAATAAAATAGCCTCCAAAGACTCCTGGTTCTTTTTCATTTTTCAAAATAATATTTTAGTGTGTTTTGGATCAAAGTTTACATGGCAAAGTAGTTTCTCATTTAACAATTTCTCTGGTAGCATAGTGGCTAAAGCACTTGACTGCTAACCAGAAGGCTGGCGGTTCAAACCCACCAGCCACTCCTCGGAAGGAAGGTTGGGCAATCCTACTTCCGTAGTGATACTGCCTCGGAAACCCAAGGAGGGGTCGCTATGAGTCGGGGCCGACTCGACGGCACATAACAACAACAACAACAACATACAAATTGTTTGGTGACATTATATTTAGTGGGCGCACACCCCCCCCACCAAACATATATATCCACCTTTCTGTATCGCTCCTCATAAACTGTGAGCATCTGCCCTAAAATTTCCAATTTGTTTCCCTCCTTCTCCCTTGTGGTGCCACCAGTTAGTTACCTGAGTTCAGAACTGAACAGCTCTTAAGTTCTAAGCTGAAACTTCACCATGGACTTCTTGATTCCTAATTGAATTCTGGCATCTAATGAACTTCTCTTTTTAAAATTAGAGTCCTTGTTCTAGCACACAGTATAATACAAGAAAACACAACACATACCTTCCATCTTTCAAAGTGTTTACAATAAATCGGTTAATCTGGCAGATACAGTTGCTTGACAATTGTTCTTCTTCAACAAGAGGGTTCAATTGTGTTGCCAACATGAAAGCTGAAAAGCAGAGATTATTTCAGCCTAACCATCTGAAAGCCAATCAACCTGTGCTAGCAAATAATCCTTTGAGTACGTTCCTGAAATTAAAGCTAGTCAGACTAAGCATAGTGCAAATCAGTGTAATTTACATTAAACATCTGCTGCTGTTCTTAAATATATATATATCTCCCAAAGTGCTCCAAATAATCTTTTCCATCAGTCAGGTTTTATGCCAAAGACTATGAAAATCTTTTCTAGGTCTTTCACATTGTGACTAGAGATAGCTAGGAAACTCTGCAAATTCTTCCTTTCTCCCTCTTAAAGCATGCAACACAGAAATAAAACCCCACATGGGCAAGTACATGATAGATGTGTACCCATCACATTCCCTAAATGTCAATATCACCCTGAGGGAAATTAATCAAAGAAAATATGGAGCACCAGTCAGAGAAAATTAATTAAGCCAAGTGGCAGCTCTCCACCTGATCCAGTCTTTTGTTAGAATGCGCTCTACCAGCTGCAATTCTGCCTGAATGAACTTCATAGCCAAGCAAATGCAAGACTTGTGGATATACTAAATTACTGCAATTCAAAGTAGTGGGTGTGCTTTTATTATTTAAATACTCACAAGTCCCTAGACTCATACATCATACTCACAGGATAGAGTGTTCACTCCATCACTCATCAGAAGTCGATAGCGGGGTGGACTATTCCCTGTAGTAATGGGACGGATGTTCTGCAATAGAAAATTTGATTCATTAGCCAGGTCTTCTGCCTTGTCCCAGAGGGCAGGTAAACCTAAGTGGCAGGAGGGTGGGTTTGCTATTAGTTCAACACAAACTCAACTGCTTGCCCATTATCTTGACACTTAAGTCAAAGAAAATTAGATTTGATAATTCTCCCATATAACCTCTCTCAAGTTAACACTATGTAAATCAGAATAAATTCAGGTACCAGCAACTCCTTTATTCTCTCTTCCCTAACTCAAATTTGACTGAAAATCAATTTTTAAAATATATATAACAAACCACCTATTACGAGAAGTTGAAAATACGAAACGTCTCACAAAATCCCTGCCCTGAAGAGGTTGACAATCAGGGTGGGGACAGAGGCAGAGAGGCATGAGAGGGGTGCACACATAATATGGGGGCACAGAGCCAAGGTATTTGTCCCATGAAGGTGATGAGAGGCAGCCTTCTGAAGAAGTAAAATACTAAAAAATTTAAGATGACTGGTAGCTAGCTTGGCAATAGCAGGAACACTATCAAGCCTACTGACTCCAAATCTCTGAAAATATCCAGGATTCTGCTTTTATTGGTTTTTTAAGTTCCCAATAAAGTTTGAGAACCCCTTAAGTGTAACAGGGTAACAAAGGATTTTAAGCAGAGAAGTTCATTTTAGATCTCTCTCTGGAGGCCGTATATAAGGCATGTTTGAGCAAACAAATCTAAGGGCAGGAAGGGAAGTTAGGAGGCAATTATAACGATAGGAGTATTGACATAGGATCTATCAACTGTGGAAAGAAAAGAGAGGCAAAGCCTGAAATCTTAATCTCCAAAAATTAACTAACTGGTTAACTCTGGTTAACATTGTATTTTATTTAAAAAAAGAAAAGAAAAGGACAAAAATCCTGGCTCCTCTCTTAGGGCTACACTTTGGATTGCCCTTTTTCTATGATAACAGGAAGAATTTCCTAAAGTTGACAAATCCATATATCCTTCATCAAAATATAATTTATATCTCTATTTGAAAAATGTTTAACATAAAACATGAAGTACTCACAATTACTTGAAGGATAGGTTTTATAGATGTATCTCCCTGTTGCATTATGGCCTGAAAGAGTAAAAACACAGTCTTGTGAGACATATACTCATAGAGACCTCCCACTGCATCCTCTTCTGTACATTTGCAATTTTAAATCTCATTGCTCTCCTACCAATTATCATTTAAAAAATAAAATAAAATAGAGTCATTGTCAATCAGGTTTTTAGTTTGTTTTTACAAAGCCATCATTTCGAGGTAACCATCAGAGAAACTGAGGGCAGTGGTGGTTCAGAGGTAGAATTTCCATCCTCCATGTGGGAGACTAGGGTTCGATTTCAGGCCCAGGCACCATATGTGCAGCCACCACCTACTGGTCAGTTGAAGGAAGACTGACTGTTGCTAGGATGCCATACAGGTTTCAGCAGAGATTGCAGGCTTACAGTCTAAGAAGAAAGGCCTGATGCTCTACTTCTGAAGATCAGCCAATGAAAACCCGAGGGATCACAACAGTTCAATCCACAACCAATCATGGGGACAGCACAGGAGCGGGCAGTACTTTGTCCCGTTGTGCACAGGGTCACCGTGAGTTAGGGCCAACGGGGCAGTAGTTAACAACCAGAGAAACTAAAACATAACGGTTGTGAAAAAACTAAAAAAAAAAAAAAAAGGTTGTGAAAAGTTGTCTGACTTTCACTTCTTGCCATGCTGAAAACAAATGACATCAGACTAGCCCTTCCAACCATACCAACAAATTGGATGAAAACATATACACTGTTTTTGAGTAATATTCAACATGTAGAGCGAGACCATGATTCCTGAAAGGGAAATAAAGGCGGCGAGCCCTACGATTGCCCTGGTTCTCTGCAGAGACACCTTCAAGACTGTAGTTCAGAGAGGCGTGCACGCACAACATGGCAGTCCTACTGCTCTGCGGACAAAGATCTGAGTCCAGGGAGGTGACTATCTGGATTTCACAGATATGGAGGAGAGAAGAGGGGCCACACGGGTTACTTGAGCCTTGGCTGGATACTAAATTTTGCACACACAACTCAGAATGAGACTTAAGAGGCCAAATAGCTCTCAGCAAGCTAGAGGGTGAACAATTACCAGCACTCACACAGAGCTGGCATCCATCTAAGTTCCAATGAGCTACAGCTGAGAGAACTCAATGACCATGTGGTACGGTCAGTACAGTGTACAGAAAGGTTATGCCTTAAGAGTAGGACTAAACCAGCCCTAAATTAGAAGCTAATCTAGATCCACACTAATCTCAAAAAGATCATGCTGATTCTGTGGATAAATGAAGAGCTTGCTAGAACAGCTCAAAACTTTTTAAAGAAATACATATAATCCAAACACTGGATAACGTAACATTCCCCATACCCATCATCTAATAAAGAACCTTGGAATGGTAGTTCTCAAATTGCAGTCTGAAGACTTCTGTGGGGCCCAAGGCACTTTCAGGGAGTCTCATAATTCAAAACTATTTTCATCATGAAACAAGACTTTGCTCTTTTCACTCTCATTCATTTAATACAATAAAAAAAAAATTGGCTGAAAGACTAATAAAACCTTGTACTGTTCTCACTGTTGAATGCCTGCTAGATGACAAGTCAGAGGAAATAGAAATTGCTGCAGGGTCACTCCCCCACAACACAGCCACTTGCTGAACTTAAGAAGTGGATATATCACAACAGGCAGAGAAGGTATCCCATCGGCAGAATTCTCTGTCTGCCTTACAAATAGATGAACCCATAGATGTGGCTGGCCTTGTCACTTTGTATTCATCTGGTATCAGCACCAACCATCAAATAACATCTTCTTTTATGTGAATGCTTGACCACAACACAAATTACTCTGAAATATTCAAAATGTCGAAATGACTTTCTGAAGTTTTGGGTTATCCTGGAACAGTTGTATCGACACTGCACTGATGAGGTAACTCAATGGCAGGTCAATTTCTTAGTGGGTTAGCACAGCTGCTGTACTAGTAGTCATTGTATTTCTTCACTGCCTTGAACTTGTGTGTGCATGTGTGTGTGGGGTAGCTTCACTCCAAAATGTCCTTGATAAAGCAATAGAAATTATTTATTGTATCTCAATCCTTGGGTACATAAATTTTTAATGTTCTGTGTAATAATACAGGAAGAATACAAAACAATACTTCTGCAGAGGAACGTGGCTGTTGTCTCAAGGAAAAGCACTTGATGCAATCGTTTGAGCTGTGAGTTGAACTAGCCACTTTTATCACGGAACACCATTTTTACTTCAAAAAAAAAAGGACAGAAAGAAGGACACAGGGAAGAGAAAACTATAGGGAGGAAGTGGAAAGAGAGCTATAACACTGTGAGGAATTGCAGTCAAGATCATGAAACAAAATGTGTATGAACTGTTGTATGGAAAATGAATTTGCTCTATAAACTTTCACCTAAATCACAATAAAAGTTTAAAAAACAAAGTTATCAGAGGATCCCTGGATCATCAGGTTCCCAAAGAGGAAGGATGTGTAAGTTGTGAGGCCTCCGGGACCCAGGGTGACATGCAGGTTTGATTCAGTTTCAGCTTTCATAGCAGTTGAACCCTGGACAGCCACAACCACAGCAAGACATCTGCCTGTATTTTCTTTTTTTAATTTTATTTCAAGAGCTTGTTTTACATTCAAATGCGTACATTTAGTTTCATTCCCCATTCGCCATGTCCAACCCTAACCCAGTCTCCTCCCCTCCCCACCCGGCAACACTCCCCCTGTGCCCCTCATATTTATGCACTCCTGTTTGTCCTGGATTTCCTCAGTTTGAATGCTGGTCCTTTGGTGTCCCATGTCTATTGCTTTAAGGGATGTATTACCATTGAGTGTGTGGGTGTGGCATCCTGGGTTGAGTGGTCTGTGTGTACATCTTGTTAACTATTGGGCTGAGAACCCGCCCCTGGGGGTGAGTTTTATTCCAGGCACCGAATGTGTTTCAGGGCCATAGTATTGGGATTCTCACCAGACTTCATCTGACCAGTAATTCTGGTCATTATTCAGTTTTTAGATTTTGTTCCATGCTTTCCCTCCCACTCTATCCAAGATCTCCAGGTTTGATCCTTTCCTGAGTGGTTGGCATTGGTAGCTGGGCACTGTATTTTCTTTTTAAAAGTAAGTTTGATTGATCTCTTTTTAGTTTAATTGTATTATATAATTGATGCTATGATTGCTTATTGAAGTTTGATAGCATTAATTCCTAAGATAGTATTTTTCAAATATAAATTCATTTAATGGAATTCTTATGAATGCACATTTCTATTTCATAGGACTTTCTAGGATTGGATAGTATAAGTATTGTAATTCGAATGAAATAAAAGGTCCACTATTAGTTAAACTATCATTGAAGTTTAGATAGAGATGACTAAAGACCACTTCGGGATGCTATGCATTGTTATTAGAAATCTGTAAAGGTAACCTGACAATCACCTCAATAAATGTTAATAGATTTTTTAATGCCAAAAAAAATAAATAAATAAAACCCTAATAAATCTAAAAACAAAAACAACAAAAAGAACAAATTACAAACTATGATTATTTAGATTTGGGAATCTAGCAATCTAGCAGATAATTTCTCAAATAACCTGTTTTCAAGGAAAACGATTGACAGTATTTGCTGCCAATAGTAAAATTAGAGTTTTCACATGAAAATCAGAACTTTGGGAAATGTATTCACCCCCACAAGAGTTACAGCTTCTCAATACTTAAAAACTTTTCTGATGAAATCAGTAGCAATAGTAACAAACATGAATTTTTGATATTATAAAATGAACTACGCCTATGCTTGGAAGATGTGTATAACTCAGCAAGCCAATATCATGCACAGGTAAAAAATCCACTCAAGTACCCAAGACCACATATAGGGTTGGCAGACACTGGTTCTACAAGTGTATTTGTATGTTCTGTAAGAATTCCCAGGTGTATAGGAGAGCTGACAAGGGACAAGGTTGTAGTCACTTCTTGGTCACAGCCAGTTACCCAGAGGGACCAAGTAGTTGAACCTGTGGGCTCGGGACCAGAGTCACAGGGAACATCAAGCTCAATTGGCATAACATACTACACAAAACATTATTCCACCTCCTACTTTGGCGGGTAGTGACTGGGATTTAAAAGCTTGCAAGCAGCCATCTAGATGCAACAATGGGTGTCTCTTCATTCAGAGCAAAGAAGAAAGAAGAAAACCAAAGATTCATGGAAACAATTAGTCCAAACAACCAGTACACCATGCAATCCTCAGTCTATATGACTATGAGACCAGAAGAACTAGATGGTGCCCGGCTACCACTGTCAACCACTTAGAGGGGGATCTATGTAGGAGATCTTGGATAGAAAAGGAGAACAATGTGGAACAAAACTCAAAATCATTTGGGAAAAAAAAAAGAGGGGGAACCAGGTTTGCTCGTGTGATAGAGCCTGGATGAACCACTGAGGCTATGGTCTCTAGTTGCCCTTCAGGTCTTGAATTAAACTCATACCTGTGGCTTCCAGCCAAACAAAAGACAGGCATATGAGTTGAACATTTACCTGAGGTAGATACACTCCTTGGAGAGAACAATCATGGGAGAAAGCAGGGCTATTTATGCACAAGGCGACAGCTCAGGGGGCAGGAGTGCATGGAAGGATGGACACAGGGAAGAGGTAACTATGGGGAGGAAGTGGGAGGAAAGCTGTTGCATTGTAGTCAATGTCATGAGACAAAGGATATGTGAACTGCTGTCTGGGAAGTGAATTTGCTCTGTAAACTTTCACCCAAATCACAATTAAAAAACAAACAAATAAACAAACAAACAAAAAGTTTAGTTTAATTAGTAAAGAAAAAAAAAATCCATTCAAAAAGACAGAAAAATACCACAAATTAACATAAATATACTATTAAATAAAAACAGGATTCCCAGAAAGTGGCTATGGGTATGGATGAAGCAAGTTAAGTATGAGGTGTTGTAGTGCAAGTACAGAGCTACATTCTGTTCTTATTTGAAATTGATACTATTCTACTAAAGAGCTTTATATTCATTTTGATTTTTTTTAAATATTGCATTATAAT